ATGAACCTTGAGACATACTGGTAAGGAGAGAAAACCAGTCATATATCAGGATTCAGTCATATTTCCTTTGAAACTATGCAAGTGCTGTTATACCTCCTAAAAGTGTTCTTACCAAACACTGTCATATTCTGCCCCTCAGAGGTTAGTACCTTAGTACAAAATTTTGTTTACATTTGGAGCAGTGTCGGCACTGCACAGCCATATAATACTGTGACAAAACCTGCTCCTTCACTCACATGTGTATGTCCATCCTAAATCAAATGCAAGTAAAGCAAGCAGAGTTTGACCCTAAATGTGGAGAGCTTCGTAAGCAGAAGCTGTGTATTACAGTCACAGAAAACTGACCTCCACATCTGTGGAGCTGCATATTTATGATTTTCCAATGCTTGAATAGATTTTGAAATAAACCAGCCTGTAAATACAAGGGGAAATCTAACTGCAGCGTTATGAAGTTGTGCAATGCAGCACTCCAGATTTGTTTTCTTCACAACTCTGTGGAACTGTGGGCAATATGTAACTAACTAAATGTCTAATTTATTTCTTTTACTTCTTTTCAAACAAGCCATACCCCAAAGGAATATTTTAGTAATCTACAGTATGTGAATTTTAATGTATTTTTTGAAGGTATCATTTGACTTCTCAGCTAGGATCAAGGGTGATAGTTCATCCATTAGAGACATACTCTGGGATTAAAGACAGCTGGATTGACTTTTTATATATATATCACATACTTCCCTGGGCAAATTACTGAGTCTATAGCTCTGTTTGCTTTGCACAAAAATAGCATTTTGCTGTCCCACGGGCATGCTGTGAGGGACCTCAAAGACTGAGATGTCTCACATACTGTCGTAACTGGAAGTCATACAGAATGTGCAGCAGGCAGATATCCTAAATGTTAAAATGAAGTTGGAACTCAGAAGTAATTTCTAATTTCCTATCCAATAAAAGATTTATATAATAGTATTGCAAATTTTTTCTTGGTCTCCAGGAACGACTGGGTGCATTTTGCTCCACTTTGGGACACAACTCACAGCTAATGACATCATTTTCATTTCAGATATAGAGCAAAACAAAGTTATTCCAAGTTATTATTTTTACTGAGATTATACTGCATTTAAAAGAACATAACAAGG